GACAGAAGCAACACTCTTAAATGAATACTCTGAGTTCCAAGTTCCCCTAAAATATGGGCTCAGTTTGAATCATATCCCAGGAAGATAAATAATTGGCCCCACATCATATAGCTAGTGGAAAACACAGTGAAGATCTGAGTTCAATTTCTAAATTCCAGTCTAAGACCCTTCCCACTTGCTGAACTGAAACAGTGACAGACTAGTCAGTATAGAAACCTGGAATACTAAGCTGATGCTTTTGATCAAAATGGCCAAGTACCACTTCCATAATTGCTCAGATCCAGGAGCTTCTCATTGACAAAACTCTGACAGGATAAATTACTGAAGAAACAATTAATTGCCGGGTTATACTTTTTCCTTTATTTCCAAAGGACAATATATTTGACTTGGTTGACCCCAACCTAAGCCCTTGTTTTACAGTTAAAAATCTACCAACATATATGTGGAAATAGTTTGTAAACTGTCTCCTTTGCCAGAGCCCAGCCTGCCTTTCAACTTTTGTTCTCATTTACTTCCTGCTGAAAATCAATCCTTCCAAATCCCATTTCTTGTAATCTGTGACTTGTTGGGGAGGGGTGATTTTATTAATATAAGCATCACCTTTCCAGGCTTGATTTTCTCAAGTGAAGGTCAGTGATAAGTGACTTCCCTCTTGGGGCATAATTTGTGGCCACGAGGCCTTTTCTGTTGATCCAGTTGATATGGTAGTGTCATAACACAAGGGGGATAGAGAGAGGTTGGCTCTGGGAAAGCTGGAGGCCACAAAATGCAAGACCAGATGTGACTAGACAAGGAAGAGATAACAGAGAAGAGAAAAACTGGCTACAGAAGCAGAGGAAAGACATCTATCTTGGGATATGCACTCAACATATCCAAGGTTAAATCCACCTTGTATTTTTGTATTTCCTGCAGTTGCCTTGTGCTCACAGCACTCAATTATTTTGTACAGTAAGAAGAAAGTGTCAAGTTTCTTCTAGTATTTAGCAGCAGCTGAAATATCCTTCATACTGTCATCTTCCTATCATGCTTCAAACATTTCTTTGAACCTTCTGTTCTAGAGATTCAGTACTATGGGTAATCTTGTAATCAGCTTACACCTCTCCTGTTACTCTGAGACCTGCAATTCCTTATCCAAGTAGTTGGTACTGGAAATGTGCAGACAGAAACATGAAATGAAAGTATCCAATTGAGTTCATACTTGTCCCTAACTCATTGTTCCTTAGGCATGTATCTTGAGGCAACAACAAATCTGTTTTGTCTTTTTTTTACAGATCCTGGGTGTGGACAAAACTGAACCTAGAGATGCCAGTGATTGGTGTAGCATGAAAATGGATAGTATGAGGACCAGCTGTATTCCTGGGTATGATACCCTGAAGCTGGCAGCCTGTGAATAAAGCTCTGCACCTCAAACAGAAGCTTCATGCTTTCTCTCAGAATTAGTTTGTAAGGCTAGGCTTCCTATCTATCGAACAACTACTATCAAAGAACCAGAAATTTGGTTCTCTCTCTCTCTCTCTCGCTCTCTCTCTCTCTCTCTCACTCTCTCTCCATATATATATATATTCATGAGCTTTATGCATGAAGGTCAATCTGTAGCTTGCTTATGGAAATCAATATTTGAATAGTTTTGTTCAAAACACAACACTATTCCAGAAGCCAAAGAGTCAAAAGAACCTCACTTGCATTACAATGATGCTCAATGCTCCATTATATCCCCTTTGACCTCATACACTAGCCAGATCTCTACCAACTACTCCTTATTCCATTTTCAAATTTTTATTGAAGAGAAACCAAGTTGGACCTCTTCATATTAGTGATGGTGAGCTTTCCTATTTATATAGACCATATATTTGTATTGCAGAGGCACGAAGTCAGAAAATCAGTTCCTATACCAGAAAAACTTAAGCCTCCCAAAGAGTAAGGACACCCAAAACACACTCAAACATTAAAAATGAAGAAAAATAAAAGATAACCATATCTACAGACTGCGTGTTAATCAACATAGGCTAACCAATGAAGTAGTATACAATCAAGCAGAAGAAGCAATACATTTGATATAGTAAACTGGCCTTTTTTAGCAGATTACTGTGTAAATGAAGGGGACAAAGCCACCTGATTTGGCTGAATCTATTTTCTTTCTTTCTTTTTTATTTGTACTGGGGATCAAACTCAGAACATTACATTTGTGAGGCAGGTGGTGGCACCACTGAGCTAAATCCCCCCAGCCCTGAATCTATTATTTAATATCCATGCTGCAATGACATAATAGTATTTGAAGTTTGCGTTACCCCATGCATACCAATCTTACATTAAGGTTAGAGTAGCTGTTAACATTTAGTATCTTCTGTGAACATTTCTTTGTTTTTTCTCTTTCTCTCTCTCTCTCTCTCTCTCTCTCTCTCTCTCTCTCTCTCTCTCTCTCTCAAAATATCTGTGGCTATACAAGATTGGAAAAATCCTGGGTAAAATTAAATAGGTCTCCATGATGTAAGACTTCTCAGAACATTTAATGTGCCAAGAGCACTGTGAATTTCTAAGAAAAGCACAGAATTTGCAGTATTTTACAAACTGATTTTACTCTAGAACCCTTTTCTGAAGAGCTCCCTGGAATGGGGAGATAGAGACAATTGTCTTTAGAATACATTTCAGGGAATACTGCTTTAATTGTCTGACCTCAGTGACTCTCAAGTAAAATAGCAAATGGAAGCTGCCCAGGTGGAATATGTGCTCTTTTGGAAATTGCCTATCTCTTTTGATAGACAGAAGTATAGTGTCTGGGGCATTGAAAGAGGACAGCTTCTCAAAACATTTGCCTGAGCCCCATGAAAATTTCTCTATGTCAGCTCATTCAATCAACAAACATTCTGCAATGTGCTAGAAGCTGAACATTAATTTAAAAGAAAGTTAGGACTACTTCTATTGTATCTAATGGAAATAGAACTGTTCAAAGATAAAATAACATTTGAACTAGATGACCTCCTATGGTCAGGGTGGGCAGAAGAAGACATTTTTAAAAGAAGGATCTGTATATACAGAAGTGGCAATGCTGGAAAGGGCTTTGTTTTGGTCCATTAAGCATTATCCCTTTGGTTTCTGGATGTACACACTATATCATATGCTGGTATTTTATGATAGTACTTTCTTTGCTTCTCAAAGTAAGGAAGATTGATGGTTGAAGGGGTTGGAGAGGGCTTGCAACTCTGCACTGCCTGCTAAGGATGAAAATCCAGCGGTCATTGGACTTGAGATCCCTTACCTAGGAGGTAGAAGTGTCCTTTTACATATGATGAGAAGCAATCACAGAATGCAAGGAATGGCATATTTCTACAAAATGCTGGAAACTTATAACAAGAGTAGTGGGAGGAAGAGGCTTAATACATAGACACGTTGCCTTAAATCTCATTTAATGATGAATTAAATGATTGATGAATGTCTGCAAATGTACATGTGCTTTAAATTACAGAGTGTCTTCATGTCCAATATCTCATTTGATTCTCACAAGAATGTTGTGAACACGAGCAGGAGAGGTGTGATCAGTCTCTGTGCAAAGGAGAAGTGTGAGGTGCATCATAGTTAAGTGATTGGTCCAAGGTCTCTCATTAGTAAGTGGCAATATCAATATTAGAAACCAAACCTCTTGAATTTCAATCTTATGTAGTTAATTCGTACCTTTCCTGTGTTACTTGGAGAGGCTGAAGGTATAGGCAAGCAGACTCGTGCCCAAATCAAAGAAAATTTCTCTTAAAAATCACATTGGATTAGGCTAATTTATGAAACAATTATAGAGGACATGTATGCCTTAAATGGGGAATTAAATGTGATGGCTTTAAGTTCACTGTCTAGCCTGAGATCCCATTATTATAAAATTCCTCTCTCTTATTTCTCCCACATGATATTTCAGATCACAAAATAATAGGAAGTAGATAGAAGTCACAAATTTACCAAAATTACCAACTATATATGGATATGAGCGAACAAAATTTAACATCTTGCAACTAATAGATACGAAATTATGAAAGGAGGCATTGTTCTGCATTTGAGCAATCAGTCATTTTGATGTACAGTGAATCTTCATTGTTAGAATTGGTGTAGTTGTTCAAACACCAAATGCATTTCAAAAGGTAGAATTATGGACTGATAACAATCCATACTTGTTTTCTCTGATAAGGGACCAAGTTTCACTTTAGTCAATAGATCTAGCCACTGTCCAATTCCCTTGAAACATTGTTTGGCATATATTTACAGACCTTTATGTTCAAGAGAACGGTGCATCTGTCTAATGGGGCGCCTGGCTGCATTCTTTCCCAGATATTAATATAGGAGGCACTTCAATAGTATAACCAATGACATGAAGAACCTGATTTGGAGGAGAACAGATGGCGGCATCTTTCTTAGTCTAATTTTACGATCCTGAAATAGTCTCTTTCTCACACAAACCATTAGTGGAACCAAATTAAGAGAGCTATATCACATGGAGAAGTGAGAGAGAAAAATACGCTTCAGTGTAACGCAAAGACCGTGAACCAGAGGCGTCAATAATTTTCCCATATCTGACTCCTTTCATAGCATACAAGGATCACTTCAACCTCTTTTCATCAGACTGGGTGCAGAACACTAACAGGCGGGTATCTAAAAAAATTGAGTGGGCAAATCTCATCTTAAGTTATATGTATGAATAAGTTTGCATCATATAACAGCTAAATTTGTACTCATAAGTATTTATGGGATCTAGTTTTAAGACTTTTTTAGCAGATAAGGAAGCTGAAGCTGAATAATCATTTTACTTGGTCAATTAGAGGAAGACTTAATCTCAAGACCTCAGCTTTCCATTCCAATCCGTTTCCTACTGACAAGACCTCACGTCTAATAAGGTATATAATATGAGGCAGGGGTAATGAGATATAGAAGATAAGTCCCTCAAGCAGAAATAATGGCTTAGGTATAAGGTGGTCATCTAAGGATTTAGAAAAATTAGAAGAGTACTTTGAAAAGGTACTTACCTGTTTTCCATCCAGAGTGTAGAGTTTTTTGACTACTCCTGTCTCTAGTTTGATGGCTTCAGTGATATCAGTGAGGACTTGCTCAAAAGAGTGAGCAGTCTTCTTATTCAGAAGCACCCGCACGGCCTTCCGAGGCTTCACCCCACTGCGGATGATGGTCACCAGCTTGGGACGCACAAAGTCCTTATTCTCTCTGGCCTGGGCACTGTTGCTGCTAGCCAGGGACTGGGGAGCTTTCATATTGGCAGATGTCTTTACATTGACAGACCAGTTGGGATTGACATTCTTGGTGTACTCCACCTTTTTAAAGAAGTTGTCTGAGGAACAGACATAGCTTTCCCCTAAGGGAAGAAATAAGTAGTTAGGTGATTAGTCCGACAGCAGATACATGGGCTCTAACCAAATGAATATACAGTGAGACTGGGATATAATCTTTGCAGAAATGGTGATAATAACCAATTTCAGGTACAGTTCCCAAATAGGCTCTCTCAATAATTTGGATCATTAAAATTCAAAAGTGATCAGCAAGACATGCTTCAGTATAATGGCATACCTATTGAAGCGCCCTGAACAGTTGAAAGTTCTAAGGACAATGAACACTCTTAAGTTTAATCTAACAAATGGAATTCTCAAGTTTAATGTGGTTTTACAGTTACTAGAGTATCTGCTAACACCTGGAGGCATTACTGGAACATTTTAACACATCTATACTTACTGATCTCCCTGTGCTGTTTGGGGGCTCATAGCCCATTCTTTTGTCATATTATGAACCAAGGAGAACTTTCAAAGTTAATACAGTTTTCATTCCAAATTAAAATGAACCAAGTAAACTTACCTATCAGGTGTATACTACATACTTGGTAAGAAGTCAGTCCATCCTTTGAATATAGTATTTGACTAAGCAATAAAATTTTAATATGTGAAACATGTGTGTGTGTGTGTGTGTACAGGTGGAATGAGCAGTAGAAGAAACAGTTATACACATCGACATTCAAAATACACACACACACACACACAGAATTCTTTGTGTTTGCAAGTCTATCTATTTATTCAAAAATACTCTTATATTTCTACCACCCCCCCTTGCATCTCTCTAGCCTCCTGAATGCTGCACAGTAGATCTGTGTACTTCAGGCCATCTTCATCAATGCTTTGCCTTGGCTGCCACAAGTAATGAGGTAGAGATGTGAAGATACATTATACAGCCTGATGTATGTTTTGGTGGGATCTAGTATAAATTTTACATTTTCCTTGGGCAGGAGGAAATGACTAATAGAGGAGAAGAAATGCAGGAGCCAGAGGCAAGAGGAAGAGATTGGACATGTTGAACTACAAGCTGAAGAAAATAGGTAGGCTCAGGCAGGTGGAGAGAATATTGAAAAATTTTGTATTTGTATAGTAAAACACACTAGCTTCCCAGTATACAAGGGTCATTCAGAGGTTGAGCTGCAGAAATGGTGTGATTTAATCCATCTTAAGCCATCAGTAATAATCATAAATAAATAAATAAACAAACTCTGACCAATACAAAGAAAGCATTAAACATAATTATATTCTGATGGCTCTTCTCTTTCCTTTGGTCTCAGCAGGAGAACCACACAGAGACATTCAGAAACACTAGGCTGATAACTCCTTCCCTTTGCAAATATTGATTGCTGTAGCAAATCAGAACACCTCCAAGTTATGTTAATTAATGAATTTCTCAGTTGGTGCTAAGAGAAGATTCCGTCAGAGTCTCTAGGGCACTTTTGAGAACATTTATTTATATGTTCAAGGCGGGGGAGTAACATCCAAAGCTGCCCTCAGACTCAGAAGCCACTAGTGTTCTCTTTTGATGGGAAACCAGGGGAAGGAGTAAGCACGGGCACCATCCTTACTTGGTACACACCTGCATACCCCAGACAGAAGATCCAAAAACACCATCTAAGAGAAACCTGAATTTCTCTGACTTATTTGTTGGCCAATCCAACCCCACTCAAATGATTGGAGGCTATGGTCTTTAACTTGTAATTTAAAAGCATAAAGAAGTCCTCGCAATTTTTCTATATATTCACAATCAACTTCTCCCACACACTAGAAACAACCTTTTGCCTTAGCACTTCCTCAAATTCATGGGCACCTTCCAAGAGGACACTGCCTTGATTCAGATGTTTTCCATAACTTGTCATGCACTTTAAACATCTAAAAGACAACTGGTGGTATGGATATGTGCAAGGCTATGTATTTATGATTTCACTCATCCACAGTCTCTTCTGGAGAGTCAGCTGTGTAGCCCTCTTAGGACTCTGGACTCTTTTTTGCCCCCATCTCTTAAACCTCTTAAGCCTCTGAACTATGAATATGATTAACTATCTCCAGATGAAAATGAAAATGATGAAACAACTATGGTATCATATGGCACCCAAGAACTCTCCAAAGGGCCCATCCTTCAGCCAAATCTATGTTGAGCATCTTCCAAGGGTACATTTTAGTCAGTACATTCTCTTTTTGGCCTGAAGAGTCATGGAAAAAGAACAGCTGATATGATGTCAGTCAGAATGGGGTCCCCAACACCTCCTAGTTGTGTACCCTTGGTTAAGTCACCTAGCTTCTTATGACTACAGTGCCTTTCTTATCTGCAAAGTAGTAGCTCTAATAATAATACCATTAGGATTGTTATGGGGGCACAAATCAGATGATAAATACAAAGTGCTGAATCCAGAAAGAAATATAGTAATAAGTGTATAAATTCCTATTATTATTAAGCCCCTCATATGAAGGAATCTGAATAAAAGGAAGATGTTTCCCTAAGGATGAACAAAATGCTGAGAAAAAAGAAACAAAATAAGAAGGAATTGAAGCTGAAGACAGGTGAAGGGAGAGCGGCAAGATTGGCCCTCTAGGACCTGAGCTGTGATCACTGTATAACACAGCTCTGCTGAGATCCACTGCCTCAAAGACTTTCTGCTCCTTGGAAAGAGGGTTCCAGTTGTTGCAAATGCCAAATGCTGGGACTCTAGCTAATAATCATTAAAGGTACTGCTGATGCTCACTGAGGGCAAGATATTTATGATGGTTAATAATGACTTGGGAGTCAGGGGGACCAGGGTTCAGATCTCAACAGGTACTTAGGAGGTGTGTGACCTCAGGCAAATCACTTCTGAGTCTCAATTCTCTCCTCCATAAATTGAAGATATTTTACTTGATGATAACAGGCCGTTCTAGGCCTAAAGGTTAGCAAGAAGGAATTTTCTTCTCTTTTCCATCTCAGACTTGAGGAAATAAAGACATTATAGTAATCAAATGTTAAAGAAACAGGTGCCCACCACCAAAGACCTTCCTCTTTTACTGGAAAGATATAAAATGTGCTGTCTGTGTTCTGATTTTGCAAACATTTGAAATATCAATAGGGCTTGGTGCTTCCTACATGTCTCGCTGCTTGGCTCTTGGAGCCACATGGGAAGTGTGTTGTACTTTTACACGGCTGAGATCCTACCCTGCCACATCTTCCTAGGGCTACATCCCACCACTGAGTAGCTAGGAGAGCTGGTTTCAGAGCCAACCAAAGTGACAATTTGCTGGAACTGAAAACCTGCTTCAGAGTGAGGAGTTAAGGAAATGAAGTCATGGAAGAGGACTAAAAGTGCAAAATGCAACAAGATGTGAGTAAAAAATGATCTAATGTCTACCTTCTTCAGTTTTAGGAAGATTCTGTTCTCAACAGTATTAAATAAAGTTTGATCTTCTCAATGTAAAATTGCTTTACCTGGGTTTTGCCTTCTTCTGCAGGGCTTTCTAACTCAGGAAAGAAAATATTAAATGGTATTTTATTATATTAAATACATTATTGTATAATCATACCTATTAAAAATGCAAAGATCCCAGGTATCTTTAAATCCTTGTTTTTGACAATATACTTGCTTTAGTAGTTAGAAAATAAATCAGTGAAAATGTGGTTTCATTTCATTGGAACAAATGAGCTGTGGCAAAGGAACTGAGTCAGAGTACTACTGTACAGATCAGATTTTCCGAGACTGACCTGGTTATAAATATTCTGTCCCATGGTTTGCGTAATAGTGCTTAGACTTGCCTCAATCTGCATTCAAATCCACTTCTCAGCCTTTTGGCTGACATCATGTGTTAATTTGCATTCTCAAAAACTGGTTTGTAAATATACCCTCCTAAAACTGATCTAGGTTCTGAGATATACAAAAAGTGCAGAAATGATTGAACAAAATATTACAGGATGAGGAACAATTCTACAAGGAAAGACAAAAGAGAGACAAGACAAAAGGCAACATCACCAGTGGACTTCATCCATTGATTTATTGGGATAGGGCTAATGAGGGCCACATCCTATGTGGTGTTGCTAAGAACCTTGGTGTACACAAGGAGCTGTGGAAAAGCTGAAATCAGAAACCTGATGGTTCAAAATGCTTCCCTTGACACTGTTCAGCATCTAGTAGCAGACAGTTGTCTAGAAGCACAAGACAAAAGGGTGCCACAAAATCAGAGTGATTATTAACCAAGTGCCTTTTATTTCATTTTATTTTAGTTTGAATATTTAATGATGTGGCCATTTGGAAACATATATTCTATGTTCCATTTTTCTTTTAAGATCTACAAAAAAGAAAAAGGACTTTCGCATTCCTAGAAATTCCTAACACTTTTCTTAGCTGAAGGGGATAATCAAATTCACCAAATCTAATATTTCCCAAGCTTAAGTGTTCTTAAGAATAACACAAGATCTGAAAACATAAATTTCAAAGCCCTACCGCCGGGGAATCTGATTTAATAGTTCTGAAGTGTAGACCAGAAATCCATATTCTTTCTAAAGCTCTGAAATTTTTTGAAAAGCAGGCACATTTGGAAGGCAGCTATGCTCATCACTATACCACCAACGCAGACATGCAGGCACATTTGGGAACCACAGGGCATTACAATCCCTCACTAGCATCATCATTTCTATCGTTGTTGTAGTTTTCACTATTAATATTTTCATATCAACAATAAAAAAGTTTTATCTTGTCAATGTATTCCCATACATATCTGTTTTATCCTTACAATTTTCCTAATGAATAGAGAAGGCAAATTGTTGCTGGTCTCACTTTACAGTTAAGAATATTACACACAAGAGACACACAAGACATGTTCTATACATAAAAGAAAATATTATTCCTCAATAAAAAGGAAAAGAATTCTGTAACACGGTACAACATGTATAAACCTTAAAACTATTCTAAGAGGAAAAAGCACAAAAGAGCACATAGTGTATAACTTAATTTATAAGAAATGGCCAATATAAGCAAATCTATAAATACATACAAAGTAGATAAATGGTTGCTTAGGCATGGAGAAGTTGGGGAAATGGAAAATGACAGTTAAATGGTACAGGATTTCTTTTTGAGGAAATGAAAATGGTCTAAAATTACTTTATAGTAATAGCTGCACCACTTACTTATCTAAAAATCACTGAATTGTAACTTAAATGGGTAAATTTTATAGTGTAAAAATTATACCTTAATAATATCATTTAAAAATAATTATTTTAAAAAGAGCTAATATTAGTCACATGGATATGTACAAACCTATGATCACTTAGCTAACAAGCTGTAAACTAAAAAGATATGTACAATGAAACTACTCTTTATTGAGTGTTACTGTGTGCCAAGAGAATAGTAAACACTTCATGTCCATTGTCTTACTATATTCTCAAAGCAGTTATATGTGAAAAACCAAGGCTCACAGTTACTAATAGTTTCTCCAAGTCTATAAAGGCTAGAAACTGGCAAATATTAAATCTGAAACAAATCTAATTCAAAAGGTTTTTTTTATTCCGTATAATATGCTGCCTCTAAGAATAGAACCCAAGTCTCCTGATTCTCTTTTTGGTACCAGGGATCTAACTTAAGACCTTGTGCTTGTGAGGCAGGCATAGCTCCACTGAGCTAAATCCCAGGCCCTCCTGATTCTTCACCCAGGAATTTTCCCAAACTTTTTCAATTTGAAGCCTAAGAGTAATATATATACATATATACATACATATATATATATATATATACATATATATATATATTCTTATATATATATAAGGAATGGTCAATATAAGCAAATCTATAAATACATATAAAGTAGATAAATGGTTGCTTAGGCATGGAGAAGTTGGTGAAATGGAAAATTCATATATATATACATATATATATATGTATATATATGAATTTTTAATCTTTTGTTCAACTTCCTTTAAAGGTAAACAAAGAGATTTTTGTCTTTTTTTTTCCTTGATGAATAATCCTAAAGGTCAAAATAGAACAGTATAAGACTCATTTTCTGTAACTTCCTTATCCTTGTGGCCTTTCCCATTTGGCTTAGTAGCAGTGGGAAAATTGATCGTATTTACCAATGTTATCACAGAGATAGCCCTGAGTTTTTTTGATAGAACTGCAATTCTCACTGGAATACTCATGGAAAAGCATTGACTTCCACTGTGATCTGTGGTTGTAGATTACATATGAATAAATGTAACTGAAAATTATTCACATTTTACTTTGTCCAGGAATTCACCAGTAGGTACTATTGCACCCATGAGTGGTACATGAGAGGAATCCAATTGAACAGGACTTAAGAGAAGTCAACTGAAAAGAAAGCTGCACTCCTTTCAAAATTATATTTATTATACATTTATATTGAATTGAAATTATCACCAACTATTTCACAAATACACACACACACACACATATTTGGGAGAAAAATATCAGTATGTAAAATAAAAATGGGTTTGGGGAGAAATTTGTACATAATATTTCCCATATGTCAGATACAAAAATGTTCTAATCTTTATTCTGAATGCATTGTCACTTGGTTCAGAATTCTTCTCTAGCATCCTGAAACCATAACTAGTGGAAAGGGAAATAAAATGGATAAAAATGGTGCTTTGCTTGTGAAAGTTATTGCAGAGAATTCCTTCAAATTTGACTGATGGATTTTACAGCGCTAAAAGGCAAACACCCTATTTATAACTCTGTTGGACAGTTCCCTCGGCCTAGTCTCAAGCCCTTCCAGTTTGCTCTGACTCAACTTTATTTCAAAATATGTACTAGAATGGCCTGTCTTTTTTGGTCAGAAATGACCTAGGATTAACCTCTGATTGTCCATTCTGCACATAATCATATAATCCAAGCCTCTTTGGCACTACTTTTCAAGGTCAGCTATGAAGAAATGTCTAGGACTTGAACCCTGAGATTTAGATAAAAACCTTAGGGACACTGACTTCTATAAGTAACTGACCCAACCACTTTGCCTGACATTTGAGACACAGCAGCTACTTGAGAGAAACGGGGTCTTGTGGAAGGGAAACCTCCATGCTCCTTTGTCTAGGGTACTCTTAGACTAAATCATTAAACGTGCTATTTTACCTTCTTTCTTGGCCATTTCATAACTTGCGTTTCCTAGCCATCTGTCTATACTAAACTCACCTTTGTTTAGGAACTAGAGGAAGTGGGGCAAGAGGGCTGAATAATGAGGAAGGGTCTGGGGAGTAACATTTTTATTGCTATGCTTCTTTGAGCTTGTCCTTTAAAGTACTGTATCATATTAAATTGATCCTACACTATATCCACCAATTTAAAAGTAAGGATAGGAAATTACCTTCAATATAATTTACTTAATAATGTAGAACATTAACAAAATCCCTCTGTATACTAAATGACCGCAAAGACTTTAAATCTAAGTGAGTTTGGGTAAGAGCTGGGATTTTCCCTATTTTCAGGTGAGTATACAGGTTGTCAGAATTTTTAGCAATCTACTGAAAAAAATCAGTTGAATACCAAAATCTAGAGAGGATTTAAAAGAACTGGGATTCAGTGAATCAGTTCCATTATAATAGGAACAATCTTCATTAAAATACCAGTCATACCTACAGCTTTCTTTGGTATTTTTTTCAATGATCTCAGCCTCATGGACACACCCTGAAGTGGGCTTTTTAGAAGCAACAGCTGAGCAGCCACCGCTTACCTAAAAGTACATATTTTCTGAGTATAACCAGGAAGTCCTGCTTTCAGGATTCATATCTCCAATGAATTGCAATTTACAAATCATTTTTCAACAGTTCAAAGGCAGTTTGGGCATGTTTTCTCTATGAACCCAACCAAATGTCCTTTCTTGTTATACTCCTAATGATTTCAGGATCTACCTTGACAGTTCCACCCAGAGTTATTTATGAACAAGATCCACAAATCAGACTTTCCTCTGTATACTCATGTATATAAATATAATACATTATCACCACCACCCACTTTTGAACCCCAGCTGAGTGAAGCGATAAAGTAGGATGGCTCATGGTTCTGATGATGCCTATAGAATCAGAAGTCTTACTGTCAATCAGCCTATGTTAGGAAAGACACATTGCCTAATTTATTTCGGTGAGATCAGAGAATGCAACCCTAACCTCAATGCCATTTCCCACCAAGGGCTACCACCCACTACTTGAATTACCTTCCTCTAGCTCATCCATGCTTCCGATCTTCCTGGATCCATCAATGGTGTAAATGTAACGCACTCCCTGAGGCAGGTTGATGTTGTCAGATAGAGATCGAGTCAGGTCAGCCAGCAAAGCATCGAAGCTGCGAAAACGGTCAGAGGACACAGCGTACACAATCCCCTTGAAGTAGCGGTCCCCATTGCGGTAGAAACGTACCTTCTTGGCCTTTTTCTCATTGCTCAGTGCCTGCAAGGTTCTGGTTCTGTAGAAGCTACAATGGGCACTGTGAGTGGGGCTAGGCAGCCCATTCATCCGTGAGCCCCTCATGTTCCTGGATGCCTTATCTCTTTCGTCAAAGTGTCCAAAATCAAGTTCCATATTTTGGTGGAACCTCAGAGACCTGAATGTTGGAGAAAGGGATAAGGAGAGGCAAAGAAAAAGGGGTGAGGAGGGAAAAAAAGAAAAGAATTCAAATATTAGCCAGATCAAAACCTACAATCTGCTGCTTATGAAAAGAACTGGTTGAAAAAAAAAGCCTGTGACCCATCTGCTGCTTGCCCCTGACCTGCAGGAATATTGATCTTAATAGAGAAGAAGGAGGGGCTGGGCAGGGGTGCTGCTGGTTGTGGGGGTGGGGAGTAGGAGACAGAAAGGGAGCACTTTTGGCACTGATTCAAACAGAGGATAGGGAGGGATTTTGAAAAAGCTTAAATCCTGAAACTTACTGACAGTGGCTCCTATCAAATTGTAACTTTGGGCTAAATACATTAAAACTGGCATCTATTTCCTCACACATGCCCACATGACTAACAGTTGTAAATGAATCCATTGCCTGACAAAATTCCCCTTGAAGAGAGCAGAAGGAGCTAGCCAAGGTTAGCATCACCAGTGAGGGAAGCAGTCTCTGCATCTCAGTACAATGACTATGAAGGGGAATGTTTTAATTCTATTCCAAATCCTTTTTCTTACTCTAATGTGTGCATCCCCTCCCCCAGAATAAACTGGAATTCTCTTTTAAAGGGACAGCCTCCAGGGAATAACCAGTGTCTTTGTGCTATTCATCAAAACCTCTCCCCAACAAGCTGGTGCAGCTATCCGACATTCATAAGAAATAAGCTGGAAAAAAAAAGGGATTAGAAAAATCAGTTATTTAACAAGTTATTAGCTCTGCTTTCTTTTTGGTACCATTTGGTTGCAATACCCCACCCCAGGTGCTTGCTTGATCATCTCCCCACCAATGCAGCACCTCGTAATGGAATAATTGAATTGTCAAAAGATTCCCAAATGAATTCCTGAACAGCATATGGGACCTTTACAAGCAAGCACACCTTTCATTGTTCTGGGTTTCTACCCTGACTGAAGGGACATTTTGCTGGCACAATGTCGACAATTTACCCCAAACTTGTCTATTGCCCAGGTGGATTAGCTGAGGCAAATGATGGTCATCTGACAGGCTTTGAATTCCCCTTTCTGCTGACCACCCCCACCACATACACACAACCCCCCCCAAAAAAAACAAACAAAAAACCCCAATAAAAACATGAAACCAAATACAACCAAAGCCCCAGACACTAGCAAAGGTTCTGACATCCTAAGAACCAAATTATTAACATGCATCTCACAAATGGGAATAAAAGGACTCACAAAGCAAGCAAGCTTCAGCTGCTACACACTGCCACACCAAGATATTTGCAAAAGACTAGAGGGACAGGAGGTAAAGGAGGACTAGTTCCTGGTAAGACTTCCAGGCTTAGTTCCCCCTTTTTTCCAATGTCACCATGACCTATGCTGAGCTCAGCATTGTCTGTGTCAGACAACCTGCAGTAGTAAGACCCCACCTCCTCTAGACAAGTAGCAAGCATTTTCCCAGGCATGCCAATAATGCTTTGCTTTGCTTTGCTTTAGGATCAGAGATTCTTAATTAACATCATAGTGAAAACAAAGGAACATCAAACTCACTTTTCCAAAGGAAAATTCCAAGTACAGCCTTAAGGAAAAAATCCAATAGAATAAGTCACACAAGGAGAAGAGAAGAGAGAAAGAGAAGGGGGGAGGCAGAGAGAGGGAGAGAGAGAAAGAGAGAGCCCTTTGCCTTGTGCTTTTCCCGTTTGACATCTGTTACATTCTTCGTGAAAATCAATTGAAAGCCCCACTCACCGGTTTTCTGCTGGTTGGGTGGAGATGCTGAGAGAAAGAAAACCAATCTCTCTATGCCTTTGTTGTCTGAGCTCCAAGCAAGAAATTCCTGCCAGGGTGGATAGATGCCTTCTAGGTCCTAGTGCCTTGTCCAGCTTCTCTTCTGTAACTCAGGCTTAGTGAATCCCCCCAACCTCCTATTATTAATTACATGCTTTTAAAGAAAATTTTCACAGCCTGCATTAACAACTAGAAAGATTTCATTTATAACCAACAGGAAATTGCAGGGTAGCAAAAAGATTCCATAGGCAAGTTCAGAACGCTCTAGTGAGCAATGTGCTAATCCTTTCTTTTAGAAAATTGGAAATTTCACTTGGGCAAAACCTTGGCCTATTCTGCGTGGGGGCCAGACTCAGATAGGCAAACTAGGATTCTTAAAAATTGTAGCTCTCTGCCTTCAACTCTGCTGAGTGAAAATTAAATCTGCAGGTTCTTTTTTAAGGCATTTCAATTCACACATCCAACAATTGGCTGTTTTTGAAATGAAATCAGAGCAGAATAAGAAAGAGTAGAAAAGCGACAAGACAAAATTGTTCTAGAATTTCATGGAAGATAGAGTTGGAAAAGGACCCCCAAAATCTTTTAGGCTGATATAAGAATTTGATGAATGAAATCTAAGATGATTAACTTTGAAAGCTTGAAAGTTCAAAAGCAACCCGGAGATCTTTCTGTGTGAAAGTAAATTTTTATAAGATAAATATTAAAAGATCTCTCCTAAGTGAAATAAATAAGTCCCACATGTGTAAATACCAAATAGTTTCCCTGGTGTGAATATTCTGCAACAATGCATAAGATTCTAATAAGATTACTGACATTTAGAAATGGGAGGAAAGGAGCTAAAGGTGTAGGGAAGGTGTGATACGTAGGGGAAGAACAAAAAGGGAAAAGAAAAAAATGTGAGAGAATGAAAAGATGAAAATAAAGTGTTTGTAGATGGGGAGGGGAGGAGGGGTTAAGGGAGGGCAGAGGTAAGGGGAAAAAATGAGAATCAAGACTTGCCATGTAAAGGTACATGATCCCAACAATGAATGTAACTGTACTGTATCCCTAAATGTACCAATAAACTCAATAAAAAAAAAAAAAAAGATCTCTCCTCAAACTCTCTATAATGTCACTAGCTGGCTTCGCTATGTCAACTATGTTGTAAAGAACAGGAAAGCATCCAAACTGAAATTAGACAGAAAAGAGAGATGAGAGACTACATGGGATGGAGGTATCATCCTCAACCTGGAGGCTGTGTCCATCAATATGTGTCTTCCAGGAAGCTCAGAGCTAATAGCATGACTCCATGTGGAAAAAATGATCATCTTTCTTCTCTGGAATGTGTTGGCTCAGCAAAGCCTAAGCTATTTATATAGGCCGAGTGAACATCCTCAAGGGTGTATCTTGCTCATTAAAGTCCTCCCAATACCTCGCTGCTGTGCTCCAGGTTTCTATATAAGGACCTTAGTGGAGTGCTTGTGTTCACTCTGTTCTCTGTCATGTGTTCTTGCCTTTTATTGTAGCCATTTCTTGAAAAATCAGGATTATTCATGTCTGAGGCACAGAAATATCAAAGAATAAGAGCACAGAAATATGGAAACTTCAAAAAGGCTGATGTCTTAAAATTCCATTCTTGCACATCATAAGTATTCAGTGAATATGTAGCAACCGATTTTGCATCAGAACTCAAAATCATCTTATTTCTTGTAGTACCGTAAGAATAGATGAGATGATAAAACTTACGTATGAAAGATTTGCAGTAGATTTTAGAAGAAATTTTCTCATGACACAAGCTTTGCAACTGTACTCTAGATGCCACCCATATCTTTAAGATGTAGCCTAAGATAAATGACTTTGTTTGGCTTATATATACCAGAAAGCAGAAATGTAGATAGGGCCAGTATTTCTCAGTGTGAACTCTGGGAATGCTAGTAAGCATTCTTTAAAAGCAGGAAAAAAAATAAGATTTTGTGGTAAAAAATGTTTGAAGAATGATAAACTACCTAAAAAAATTTAATTTTCTTTATCATAAAACATATCAGGCCTTTAACAAACTTAAAGTATAGCACCATCTCCAAGAAAACACTTTTTTAAATTTTTTATTTTATTTTATTTTACTAGTACATGTATGTAACACATAATATTTTCATTCCTTGTGGGAGTTAGCACATGAACATAACACATCTTAATCCCTTTTTTCATCCCTTTTTGTCCCTCCTATTTTTGGTACATGTTTGCAGTATGTTATGTTTCCATTCCTTGTGTGGAATAGGCACATGTCCTTAACAAAACTCAATTCTTTTTTTTCATCCCCTATAACCCCCTCTTCCCCCTCCTTCCATCTCTTGATTGTTCTCCTTGCTTCCTTTTACCTATCTTTTATTTTGCTTTTTATTTTTCTCTGAACTTTATGTATAAGAAAAACCATGTAATATTTAAGCTTATGAGTCTCAGGTATTTCACATAACATTATGACCTCAGGTTGCACCCATTTTCCTAAAAATGACTTAAGTTTATCTTTCTTTATGGCAGAATGGTACTCTATTGTGTACTGTGATAGCTAACTGATTGTGTCAGCTTAAGTAAGAAACAATTAAGTAAGTAAAATCCAAATAAATTGGATCAGCATAGTTTTGGGGGTGATTGAAGGGATTTACTAAAGACAATAGGCTTGTCACCTGAATAGTATAAAAGGGAAGTGAAGGAAGGCTCACTTCTGTTTCTTCCAAGGAGCTCCAGTCTTACCTTCACCTTGGATTTTATCTCCTGGCTTCCATTGAAGACTCATCAGCCTTCTCAAACAGACCCTTCCATCTTCCATCTCAGACTCTTTCCCCTTCTGATATGGACTTGCATGAGTGTACTCTTTTGAACTTTGACTGGATCCTTTATACCTCTAGTGCTCAGACAGCCCTTTTGTACTCTTCCACACCTGGCTCTGAAGGTGGCCATTGAAACCCTACTTTGTAAATTTTTATGTTCTTTATCTTTCATTTAATCTGTTTCTCTAGTGAGCACTTACCGGTACATGTACAAACACCACATTTTCTTTATCTATTAATCTGTTAATGGACATATAGGGCAACTCCAACATTTAGTTATGAATTGTGCTCCAGTTCACATGGCTGTGCATGTATCACTGTAATATGTTGTTTTAAGATCTTTGGGGAAGATACCTAGAAAAGAAATGACTGGGTCAAATGGTTTCAGTTTTTTGAAGAATCTCCATACTGATTTCCATAGTGGACTAGTTTACATTTTCAATAATTCCCTTACAGCCTCACCAGCATTTGTTATTATTTAATTTGTTGACAAAGACCTTTCTTTCTGGGGTAAAATGAAATCACGTTGTTTTAATTTTCATTTTTCTAATGATCAGCTATATTGAGCATTTCTTTGTGTATTTATTCGCCTTTAAAAAATGTATGTCAGTTACCCATTTTTGATTGGGTCTTTTATTTGAGGGGAGTCTATTTTTGAATTCTTTTTTTGTTTTGTTTTGGTACTGGAGATTGAACTCGGGTCCTTGTGCTTGCAAGGCAGGCCACCAAACCGCTGAGCTAAATCCCCAGCTCCAGAGAGTTGGTTTTTTGAAAGAATAAATAAAATTGATAAACCCTTAGATAAAAACAAAGGAAAGAAAAGGCTCAGATTCATGCAATCAGGAATGAAAAAGGCGAAGTCACAACAGATCCAACAGAAATCCAAAGGATCATCAATACCTACTTTGAGAACCTGTACTCTAATAAAATGGAAAACACAGAAGAAATGGACAGATTTTTAGATACTTATGAATTACCAAAGTTGAATAAAGAAAATTAAAACATTTTAAACACCCCAATTACAATCAATGAAATTGAAAATGTATTTAAAAATTACCAACAAAGAAAATCCCAGGTCCTGATGGAGTCATTGCTGAATTTTACAAGACATTTAAAGAAGAACTACTGCCATTACTCTTCAAACTTTTCAGTGAAATTAAAAGGGAAGCAATGCTTCCAAATTCATTCCTGGAAGCAAATATCACTATGATTCCCAAACCAGGGAAAGATGCAACTAAAAAAAGAGAATGACAGGCCAATCTCCTGAATGAATATAGATGCAAAAATCCCTAATAAGTTACTAACAAACAGAAAACAGAGGATCATCAAGAAGATCATCCATCCTGACCAAGTCGGATTTATTCCAGGGATGCAAGGATGGTTCAACATATGTAAGTCAATAAATGTAATACACTATATTAACAAAGTTAAGGAGAAAAACCATATAATCCTCTTGATAGATGCAGAAAAAGCATTTGACAAAATTCAACACCCATTCATGATAAAAGTGCTGCAAAAAATTGGAACAGATGGTCTATGTCTCAACTTAATAAAGGCTATCTATGAAAAACCAACAGCCAACATCATATTAAATGGCCAAAAACTGAAAACCTTCATGTTAAAATCAGGAACAAGAAAAAGATGCCCATTATCACCACTCCTCTTAGATATAGTTCTGGAGACATTAGCCATAGCAATTAGACAAGAAATTAAAGCACCAAAGATAGGAAAGGAAGAAGTTAAACTGTCATTATTTGCTCAAGATATGATACTCTACAGTGAAGACCCAAAACACTCCACCAAAATAGACTTCTAGATTTAATTGACAATTTTAGCAGAGTAGTGGGATACAAGGTCAAAAACTGAAGTATCTAGAAATCAACCTAACAAGAGAAGCAAAAGACCTCTACACTGAAAACTACAGCACTCTGAAAAAAGAGATAGAGGAGGATATAAGAAAATGGAAAGATGTCCAGTGTTCCTGGGTAGGAAGAATTAACATAGTGAAAATGGCCATACTACCAAAACTGCTATACAGATTCAATGCAATACCAATTGAAATCCCAACACTATACTTCACAGAACCAGAAGGAAGAATCCAAAAATTCATTTGGAACAATAAGAGACCTAGAATAGCAAAAGCCATCCTAGACAGCAGACACATGGCAGCAGGTATAACAATTCCCAAGTTTAAAATGTACTATAAAGCCAATGTGATAAAAAC